AGATGAACCGACTTTGGGGATGAATCGACTTGGGATGAATGTGATTTTGAACGAATTGACCATCCACCTAACATACATGCATGTATGTTTGACCAGTTACTTAATGATCTTACTATAGCAACTCATTGGTGGCCATTTTGTACACAAAATTTGCTACATGTATACTCCAACATGTCCAGAACTGTTTCTCAGAGAGGACTGAGGTAATGTAATCAAACATGGTATGATGATCATATCTCTTGGGTTACAGACAATCATGGCCATCTGGTGTCCATTTTGTTTTTATTCATGTGATTGTCCATGTCGATTTCTCACTTATACATGTCCGATTCAGTTGAAAGTTTGCACACCAGAACATATCACAATGCATCTGTGATTGTGGGTTCTTAACCCCCTTAAGTTATATTCAAACAGTGGCAGATTGTGGGCCCACAGTCACGTCCCCACCAGTGTGCCCTTTAAGCCAATGTGATGCACCATTGACACATTTGTTTTTACATAACTAGTTTTGCTAATTCACTGGTGAAGAGAAGTAACATGCTGAAAATACAACAGAACCGATAGTGCAAACCAAAATATTGAGGATATCAGTAGTTGTGTGGGAAAGGGTTTCAGACGAAGAATCTGTAATAGTTTTGGAAAATATAGAAGAGTGGGAACAAATTATGGGTTAGTATTCCAAACATTTTTTTTTTTTATATTTGTACAGGATTATTTGTTTATGTAGTACATTACCTACAAGATATCCTCGCAAGTCGCCAGCGTCATCTATTCAGTATGCACAAACACAGACATTTTTCTCCAGTCCCATACAAAACCCATTCAAGAATAAAAAGAAGGAATATTCAGAAAGAAAAATATTACGGTGAGTCAATTTATTCTTGGTATGATGTGGAAATAAATGTTGTATATCAAGTTCGCTAATAATGCATTATTAGTCTATAATTATATTACAATTAATTTGTTACGGTTTGAGAAAAATGTAATTTACCTTTTTCGATAAAATATTGGTGCAACATTTTTTCTGTTTTGATGTACTTTTTAATATTTTTTGTTGGATAATTTTAGTCCAAATAGACAGAATTTCTCATTGACTATAAGTCTTGATTAAATTTTTGAAAAATTATGAAAAAAATGTTATGTGGGTTTAAAATTTGTTCATAGTGACAAAAGTTAATTTTAGGGCTTAAAATGCAAAAAACACTAAAAATGTATGAATGTATGGGAAATGTATAAATTCAGAAAATGTTTAATTATTTGTTGTTTGTCAGTTCTGAATCTTAACGCAGTTACTGTATATCTCAGACTCTTAAATAGGCTTTCTGACCTTTCTGAAGGCATGCAGGTCATTTACCTTGGTGCCTTTCAAATCATACGCTCATTTCTTTTCACTGTTCAAGTTGGACCATGTTCTATGGTCTAAGGTTAGAATTCAGATTTAGACATACATTTTCTAAGGTAAGCTTTTGCTAAAAATGTTGTACTCCAAAATTTTGAATGTTAAGCTATGTTGAGGTACAGTTGAACACGTGTCATACTGATACATGTGATATCCTTTGAGTACAGCTATTAAATCATGCATGCATGAAATTCTATTGTCAACCATTCTAAATAGTGTCACAGTCTTCAGAGTTAGTGGTCTAGACTATTGTGTAAAGTAGTGCACAGTACAGAACACAGAGATCTATTTTGAAGTTTGGAAATTTAAAAATGTGATTTATTTTGACAGCAGTTTTGCTTCACTTACAAAACAAGTCTACGCTTTGAATCAAACTTATAGACAAAAGAAATTATCTTGTCAAAGTGACCTCAGGCCTTGCCTTTTGTAAATGACTCTTGAACAGAGCTATAAATAATGCTATTAAAGTTTCTTCAAAATGGTATCGATTGGAAAAGGGATAATTAGTGCTTCTGGGTCTTGGAGAGTGATCGATGAGTGATTCCACCAATCCAACATGGCTATTACCTGGTAGTTGGCCATTTTGAATAAGATTACAAAACAAAATAGTATGTGCTTATAATTTGAATAAAACTGGCCTTGGCATGCCTGAAGAAACATATTTCAAATGTTGCCACTAAAACAACACAAGAGAATATTCATAATGCCTTTATACCAAATTCAAATCAGTGAAAGTGAATCTGAGAAACGGGTAGGACATGTGATAAAAGGAAAAGTTCCTTTTGTACCCCACCCTTAACTTTATCCCTTATTCCCAGCCCCCATTTCAGTTGCATATGCCCCTTTAACTATAGGTGTTCTTTGAATGGGCATATACAATTAAATTAGGGAGCACTAGAAGGATAGGGTCTTGTTAGGGTTGGGGGGGGGGACAAAATACTTTGCTGAAAAAAAAATTAGCAACAGGTTCTACCTTGAACAAAATTGGGTAAGGTTCTCCCAAGATATGACGGTGAACGATTAAACTCCAAAAATATGAAAGTCAGACAGTTTATTTATTAAAATTTACCATTTTTTGTCCTAACTTATATGAATAGATAGGTTGTTTGTTAGAGATGCTGGGGGCAACCACAATTAGACGTGTACCATTTCAATCAGAAATTTAATCACAAAAATCAAATTTAAGACTTGTGTTGTCTTTTATCATTTTAAAAACAAGATCTTATCCTTTTAGGTATTCTATGGAAGAGATGTACGATGTTGTATCAGCAGTAGAACACTATAAAGAGTTTGTACCGTGGTGTCTGAAATCAGATATTGTATCTAGGAAAGCGGGTAGTATGAAAGTTCAACTTGAGATTGGATTCCCACCATTAATAGAACGATACACATCTGTAGTGACTCTAGCAAAGCCACACATGGTCAAGGTAACTGAGACTTCATTCTTGTAACATACAAATTTAAAATAGTCTTGTGCCAGTACCCAACATTGCGAATTTTCTCTTTCTTTTTTTTTACCCTGGGAAGTTACAGTATGGTGGATGTTTAAAATATGACTACCAGGGTACTGTGCTACTTGCAGAGAAAATATGGTTTTAGCATATTTAGTCTTATGCAATGGTAACACTTAAAAAAGATCTACCGGTAATCTACCAGTAATTTCAAGATCTTGAAAAATACATACGGTACCATTATATTACCATACATACTTGGATATTAACAATTTCATTGATTTCATGAAATGGACAAGTCAAACTGTGTTACATCGCTAAATTTGTACATTTGCATTAAAAAATTAGATTTTTACTTTGTTTCTAGTGTTTTTGGTGATGAATATGGTAGTATTATTTTCCTTAATGCTCTGTAACTATTTTATTTGTAGTCTGTGTACTTTTGAGCCAAAGGCCTGTAAATTATTATTAGATATACATGAATTGAATTTGAATTTAATTTATTCACTTAATTTACAAGCAATAATAATAAAAAAAATTCAATACAAACAACACTGAAATACATAGTGAATAGGAAGCTGGAAAATAGTGTAAAACACTAGTCAAGTCCACCTCCTTTTCTAGGTGAAATAATACAAAATTGTGTTCATCAGAAATTGTATGTTAAAATTCAGTTCATTAAAGTAGCACTGCATATATTTTACCCATCTCTGGGTAGGTGCTCCAAAATGTGACCCCAACATACAGATGGATTCCTGAGTTGTGGCCATCAAAGTACCAGTACTGTGAAAATGTCACCATTACAAAATGTACAGGTGTAGATCAGATTTACCGGTATTTATCATGGAACAGGATGTGAGTTACATTCTTTTGTGATTTCTCTTTATATCTGTAGGCTGTGTGTACGGATGGTACATTGTTTAACCATTTAGTGACAATATGGAGGTTTAGGCCAGGACTACCAGGACAACCAAATACTTGTACACTAGATTTTCAGGTGAGTCTGTAATGGTACTGCAGTCCCTCTTCCTCACCTGCTCATCAGTGATCACACCAATGTTTAATACACACCTCATTACCAGGAAGTCTAGAAATTGTATAACACATTTTTTACTGAAGCCCTTATATACTAAGATATTTGAATTTTGGTCATTCATGGTTGATTTGATTGACGCAATTCCCTCTAATTCTAAGATTGATCACTGGAAAACAAATTCTTAAAAAATGAAAATAAAAAATTGATTTAGTGAAATAAAAACTTAAGTACAGTAATTCCATTATAGTTGTTAAATGACCCCTTCAGTCTTAGCATACATTCTCATAAAATGATTAGATTCAAAACATCAAATCTCTTACAATTTGTGGGTCAGTTTTTCTTCACTTACAAAAATTATCGTCAATATGCTATTTTGGGTAGCATCATAATTTTCTGATGCATGTGTACAACTGACAATCGTGGATACTCTTTATCATGTTCTACAATTTCCATCTGTTTGTTCATTGTCCTTAGGTATCATTTGAATTCCGCAGTGCTCTACACTCTCAATTGTCACACATATTCTTTGATGAAGTCGTTAAGAAGAATGTTGGAGCATTTTTAAAGCGGGCAAAGCTTATATACGGAGCTCATACGGGGAAAACAGCATACGTGACAAGCTGAAGGATACTGCAGTTATGA